ACGTTTTTTTCTATTTTTAAAGTGGCCAAGTGTGTATGTGCAGCTTTCAAAAATACAAAAAATTATTTCGTGTTTTCAAATTGCCGTATATAATTTTTTCAGTTATACATACATATAGTGCACGAACCAAAAATTTATGTTTAGTCTTAAAGTGGCCAGAAATTTATGTCCAGTTTTCTAAATTACTAAAAATTTATGTTTAGTTTTAAAACTACCAGAAATTTATATCCAAATTTTAAAAGGCCAAAAATTCATAAATGGCCGGTTTTAAAATGGCCAAAACTTTCTGTATGTCCAGTTTTTAGTTAACAAAAATTATTTTCGGTTTGGAAATTTCTAGCTTTTAAAAAAATTTTTTGAAGAAACCATGAAGAACATCACAAAAAATGCAGTCTTTTAATAAAACTATTTTCAGCTTTGTTTTTTCCTTAGCATGTCAAACATCTCAATGCGATTTTTGTATAAATGCAATTTCAGACAAATTTTCTACTTACCATTAGAATTACAAAAATATAAAAATAAATGAAAAGCATCAAACTTCAATGGCTGCAATTGAAAAAAAAACGTCAAGCAACAACAATGACATTTACATGCATTACTATTATTGACTCTAAAAATTTAAATCGATTAAATCCGCAATGATTGAAATGACTACAGCTTTGCTATTGTTGTCATTTACGAGTATGTAAACACTTTCGTTTTCCCATTCAATGTCAGTGCACGAAATTATAAAATATTAATTTCTCTTTGATTTTTACGTTGACAGTAGAACAAAAAACATTTTGAAGTGCAAGTGAAAAAAAAAAGAAACAGCATGGTGGAATAATAACAAGGTGTTGTCAGTAGCGACGTGTTTGTTGTAATTTTGACAACATCGGCATGCTTATTTTCAGTGCTGCCGATCTTAATTTTTATAGTACTATTCGTTGGGAAATAGTATCTAAAATCTCCATTTAGTAGTACCGCGATTTTTAAAGAACTTGGTGTTTTTAGAACGATATTAATATTTAAAATTGATGGATTTGTATAATTTTTGTCCTCAAAATATAAAATATAAAAGATATCGTGGTTATCAATGGAAAAACATGTACACAAAAATCGTATGGAAAGGCGATTTTTTTATATTGAATATCTTTTGCTGCATTGTCATAATATCGAGCCAAATGGACTACTGATACACTAGAATATAGCGGTTAAATTACGATTTCGCTTATATTATCGATATTTATGTGTTATAATCTATTTAAAAAATCATTAATAGTCTTATAGGAAATTGCTTTATTTTACGGCCTTTACTTTTTTATAACTTACAATATATGTCCAAGCTGTGTGGAGCTGACGATACAAACATATATTCAGGCTTATGAGCCTGTAATTATATATTTTTCTACATTTAATTCGAAATAGTATGCACATACGGATTAAAAGTAGTAAATAATTAGTACCTTTTATATTACTTTAAAATGCGTAACCGGAATAGACCTGCCGAAAAAGTGAGGTTAAGTTACTGACAACACCTTGTTATTATTACACCATGAAGAAACAGAATTACATAAATTTCGAACTCATGTGTAAACACACAAATACACATGCATACATACATACATATTTATGAATGCATGTAACAATAAAAAATTGAGAAAATTTGTTATTGGCTTTGCGCTGAATGAATTACATGCAGTTGAATTTTCACAAAATCTGTGCAAATATTTGGCTATGCAATCGACTCCATTTTGCATCAACACAAAATAGAATTAAACAAACAAAACTCGGCGCCATGGAGCCGGCGATGAAAGAATGCAAATTTTACGCCACAAAGTTGCCGTGGCTGTGTGTGTGCGATCGTGGGGTGGTTCTTTTGTCACTCATACGCCCCGTGTCACTCAGCTGACGCATATTTTCTTTTATAGTTTCTCGCATGCGGGCGTTTAAATTGAATTAAAGCATTGAAGTTTGTTGGCTAAAAAATTGGAAAATATACTACATATTTACAAAAAATAGCATTTGCATAAATCCAACAATAAAAAGTTCGTTTTTTTTTCATTTTGTATTTACGGCCATTGTTTTACAAGCATTAAATTTTTTCCAAACTGTTTGTCAACAGATTTCTGCTGGAATTATTTTATTACGCTAAAGCGAAAAATAGGCACTATTTACATAATCACCAATCCAATTTTTTTGCTTATCTACAATATGTGTGTACGCAATGACATTTTAATAGGCTGCTGCTGAATTGGATGTATTTGGTTGTTTGTACAAAATGCTTAAAGCTATTTGCAACTGCGAGTGCTTTAAAAAGTCGTAAATAAAGTTTTAGCCCGATAGAGATGACAAATTTTTTGAACATAAAAAATATATGCAAATAATTGTTTACAATTCATTTTTGCATTGAAATTAAGTTGCACTTCACCGCTTCGCAAGCGCTTCAACAGCGCCTTCTGTTCGCTTTCACAATTGACATGTACGCATGCAAGTGCACACATGTATGTATGTACACGCATATGCACACTTTTGTAACTCATGCGGACGGACTGCTGTTGAAAGTCAGTGGCATTATCGCTTGGCAATCACAGACGGTTAAAATGTGCACAAACATAAAAAAACGAAATTAATCGGAAAAAAGTGTTGAAAGGCAAAAGGTGAAATGAGTTTTTTAAATTAATACGCATGTAAATACATACATATGTATGTGTATATGTATCTCTATGAAAGAGTACACTTTTTATTATGTCTTACTTTATCACCTTGTTGCACAAAAGCGTAGTGGATATCGCAATTGCCATTTTGTTGGAATTTCTGTAGCTTTAGTCATTTCGCTTTTTTCCATAACATTCATTTCGATGAACTCGGTTGGATTTTGCGTACTGCATTAACGATCATGTTTTAATTTTCCAGCGAAAAATATGCTGTTGAAAGAGATTGTGCATTAATTTTAATTACAGTTTTTTTTTTTATTAAAACTTTCAAGTTAAAATTTGTTATATTCACTTTTCAGTCAGTTTTAAAAATTTAATCAATGTTTGACGGAGTTTTGTAGACCTAATTACGCTCCTCTGTTTTACATTTTTACAACTACTGAATTTGTGTGCTTAACACATTAACAACTCAAGTCTGGAAATTTTTTTACTAAAATACTCTAGACTTTAATTACACTGTAGGGAAAATCTTAAATTTTCAAATGACACAAAAAAAGCCATAACACGTAAACTTATTTAATAATGGGTGCTGGACTATGGGTCTGTATACCGTTTTTTTTTTGAATCAGATCATTTTCGGAAGATAATTTCATTTTTTTCTGAGAAAAAACCAACCTTTTGTAATTTTTTTCCACTTGTATTAAAGCCTGTTTCTTTGCCAAAAAATCAAGTTACTAACAATGCAAATCAATAGATAAATAAACAGCTTGGAATAGTCAAATAAAAAAGTGAAAAGGAAATTACACTGAGAAGAAACGCATTGTAATATTAAGAAAAATGTTGATTTGATGAATTTGGTGATATGAGTAATGAGTTGATTCGAATTCAACATTTGAAAGCACATTTACATGTCTGGCAGTAGCGCAAAGGTGCTTGCCAAAATTTGTTAATTTCCAGAGGGTCAGTGTTCAAGTCCCATTGGAGGCAGCAAGGCTATTAATTTTGTTTTATCTTTAAAATGGAGATATCTTGGGAAAATTACCTGGTCTGGAAAAACGGTAAACATATCCGTAATCTACGACGCAAAATGAAGTTTACGTGTCTCGTTGTTTTTTGTGTCATTTGAGCGTCCCTACAGTGTTATTTACACTACAAAAAATTGATCAAAGAGTGTTCGGACCCTCCTTAGAGAAATACCCGGCTGACATAACCACAGTAAAGGAAATGCGAAATGAACGTGGGCACGATTGGTGTGGAATTTTTAGTTGGGCGGAGACATTGACAGCTCATATCCAGGTTGACCCCCCTCAGTGAACGAATTGCTACAATCCGCATGAAAACTAAACATATTTGGTCCCACCATCCACTCTTAATCCATAAATGAGCAGTGGAAATCGATCTCCCAATCTCTTCGTACCGCTGCGGCTAGCTACTATCACCCATAGAGCAACAGCTGGTATAACAAAAAGTGTCGCGATTGATTGGTTGGTTTTTAAACTTTAATTAAAGCAGGTCAGGGAACTTGCTATTTCTCTCCAACGAAATCTGTACCTTCAATAAAATATTTTTTTACTTTTAGTTCACATTGCACTCTAATAAACGCGAGTTTTTAGTTTTTTAAATTATAATTTTATTTTATTGGTACGAATGCATGATGTCGATATTCATTCGATTTATCGCGAATTGGGCAATTTTCTTTTTTGTTTTGATTATTTTAGGACATCGCCGTGGGCGATTTTGGCTGATTTTTCCCATCAAATCCATTTTTTTTTTTTTTTGTACGATACCATGTAAATGCGTTCGTAATATTTCGACAGTCGAAATACGTGAAAAGTGGAGTTTGAGCTTTGGTTTGGTTGGCAACTCTTTGTATATATAATATATTAATTATAAGTGATTTTTTTTATTTATTAAACTGTAGGAACGCTAATATTGTATAAAAAACGCCGAGACACTTAAACTTAATTTTTGGTCGTAGATTACGACCCTGTATACCATTTTTCTAGATCAGGTAATTTTTCTAAGATATGTTAATAATACGTTTGTATTGCGATTGAAAAAAATCAAAGTTTAGTAGGAAAAAAGTCTAATATTTAATAACATACTACTCGTTCCCGGCGTATGAGTAACTTTCTTTTCAGGTACCTTTCAGGTTTGAAACTTAAAAAAAAAAATTGTCTATCATTTGGCCTTAAAGTTATCAGCCTGGAAATTGCACTGGCAACGTTGTAAAAGTTGTACTCACCTATAGGATCGGCAACACTTAAGTTTAGTTCTTAGCTTATGTATAAGTTTTTTTCTTAAAAAGAAATGCGAAAATTTCGTATAAAATTTTTTTTTCAATTATTACTTTTTTCCTTACAGGAATTAAAGCCAGTTGGGAAGAATGGTGGACGTATGATGGCATCTCCGGTAAGTAAATGGTGCAAAATTTTCATTATTATAATTTTTTGCCGTTTTAGCCTTGGAATATTAATGAAAAGAAAAGAAAATAATTTCTCTACATGTGAAATAGCCCAAAACAGATAAAAGTGTTTTTTTTTTGTACCCATTTTTCCTTCTCACGTATGAATCGTGCAATTTAATCAATTAGGAATGTCATTTTATACGAAGTTCATTGTCCCTTGGCACTCACAAGCTGTGCACAAGTAAATAAAAAGTCCAAATAGGTTACTCTTACTTTGTTTTAAAAATTTTTATTTTTCATTGTTTGCAATGGCGCATTTCATTTTATCAATCAACATCAGTCCAAATCGACAGTTATTGAGGGTTGTCAAAATCAGCTTGTGCGCCAGATGTCCAGGTACATATGCATACATACATATGCGCGAGAAAATAAATAGGGACGCGACATTTTAACAAATGTTAGCAATTTTTCTTTTCTTTATATAATGTTTATAATTTTCTTACGAAAGTTCACTAGCTCACTGTCTAATAAAAACCACCTAAGTCGGTGTTTTAACTTAAAAAATTTTTGCAAAGTTTCTACAAAGTTTCAAACTTTTTCATAAGGGTTTGACTACAATATTTTTATATGAGCGACAGTAAGTCCTAGCTACTTCAAATGTGTATACCTAGAATTTTTTAATTCTGAATATTTAGTTTGAAATTTTGATGCACATTTGTTGAATTTCGTCGAATTTTTATAAGTCTTGTACAAAGTTTGAAGCGTTGGCTTAGGCTGCGGCTATGAAAGCCCGTTTTTTTGTGTTTTGACGAAATCATCAGAACAGAAGTTCGTCGAATACGCATGCACAGTTACCGTAGCGTTGTGTGATTTTTGTTAGATAGCGAGCTATAAATAAACAAAAGAAAAATAGGTCCAACTTTTTTTATACATATGTAAATTAGGGTGTTCCCAAGTCCAACAAATCTTCTGGATCCGATTGCCAGTAGCAAATTTTCGACGAATTTTGCTAAAAAAAACTAGAAGAACAGAATTTAGAAGAGATCGTCTATGCCAAAATAAAAAAAGGCTTTGATTTTCATCAGCATATGGTGAAAGTCGGAAAATTAAAAAACAAGAGACTATCGAACTGAAAGTAAACTTTTTCTTGTGATAAATTTGAGATTTTTAAGGTTGTAACAACGCTTTTAAGGTCTTTGAGTTTTAATTCAGTGATCCAATAAAGCGGGTGCTATCCAAAACTCGAATATTTGCATTTTGTGGATAAATCGGCTATTTGAATTTCGTGATTTTATTATTAGTTCAAAGACAAATCGAGTTCGACGACCTCAGAAAACTTTTTTACCACATTTAAAATCTGAAATTTTTGACCAAGAAAACTATTACTTTCATTTTGATGGTTTTCTTAATTTTTTGAATTTGTCGGCTTTCACCACTTACAGAAAAAAATCTAACATATACGCCTCTATAATGAGGAAACTCAAAATGTCGATTTACAAATTTGTTGCACGCACAACTGGCTCACCTGTCCTCAAAATTTGAGCCGCACATCACAATTCAGAGCGACTAGTCCAACCGCATTTCGATCAGACACTGTACTATATATGTATGTAGATTTGCATGCATATATGAACGTAGTTTGAGAGCATTTCTGGTGGCCGGCGTAATGCCCGTGCTTGCGTGGAATCACTGGGCAGGAGCAGGTTCATATCCTGTCACACGCAACATAAAAATGAAGGCAAAAGGTGCATACCCCTGTTATGAAAAGGCCCACCTAGAAAATCCACCGTGTTCTAGAGTTTTTTCATTGTAAGTCAATATACCAGACCCGCATCAAAATTCGAAGTAGAAGCACGGCCAATCACCGAACGGGGTGTGTACGCGCCACCTATTTAATTTGTTTTTTTTTTGTATGTTTTGAATTGCATTTAATACCAACATTGAACGCAGTCACAATGAGTTGACATGAATGACATGTGACCTGTCGAAAAGTTTGCGTGGTGCGCGCACAATCGCAGAAATGCATTTGTGTGTTGTACATATTTACATACATACCTGAGTACAGCAAAACCCACATACCGACTCACCCACCGGCTATTTGAAGTGAGTGTAAAGGGGAAATATGAGCGACAAACGGCTGTTGACTTGGACACGAATGACAGCTGGGGATACGCGTGCAATGAATAAAAAATTTAATATTTCCGCTATATAAAACAACAAATACATGTGTACATTTCCAGTTACATAGGTGCAAATGCTTGCTTGCATGCAACTTTATATGTATGTATGTATGTATGCATGTGTAAGACTGCATTCCCTACAAGACATTGCTGAGCACTTTAGGCAAAAATTCTCACACATTTACACTTTTGTTTTTGTAGTACGGCATAAATGAGTAGTTTGACTATTAGTACTGAGGACTTTCTGATGACAACATTGAGGGGAAAGTACTCAATTTTTTCCCATGGCCTGAACGAAAATGAGGACTTTGATAAGCACTTTTGTGATTAGGGATAATGATAATATGAGTACTCATATGATACTCAGCTGTCTTGTAGGGTTCATGGCATTTTATTTACATACATATACGCGCATTCACTTTGATGGAATCGGATAATAAATGGAAGCGCTTTCATTCACCTCACTCAGATTGCGAGTTAGTTGTTGTTGTGTTGTCGCTGTAATTGTTGGTGGTGTTGGTGGTGTTGGCGGTGTTAGCGGTATTGCTGGCAAGCAACTATTCGTGGCCTGCAAAATCCATCAACTGACATTGGATAAACTTCCGCGCGCAACGACTGACATTCACATTGACGCCGGGACATGGCTCGTGGCTGCATTTTAAAATGGAAGTAATTAAAATTGAAGGGCGAACACTGAACTTTAACTGAATGCAATAAAATATTTTTAAATTTAAAACGAAGCGAATTTCATCGGCGTTGTGCTGTGCTGGAATTTATTGGGCATAAAGTTCTGCGCTTGCCGTTATTTTTTTTTCATTTTGAGCTGCAAAGTAAGTGTTGGTGTTGTAAAAATGAGGTCAGACTTTTTCTTAAAGGTGTAATAAAGCGATAAGCCTTTGATTGTCCGTCAGTTAAAGTAAAGTAAAGTATTCACCAGATTTTGAGAGTGAGTACTACACTTAAATATCAGAGAAGAAATTGAGTATGAATTTTGTTATAGAAAGCTAAAAATTAAGTTTTATTAGTTTGAGTAAAAAAAATACTTATTATTTCTTCGATTTTTTTTTTGAAGACAAAAATGTAAGTCATAGTTTTTCTGACATTTTTTGAGCACAAAATGACTGGTAAATTTACTTTTGCCTTTAAGGCATTCATAAAATGCAAAATTAAGATTTAAATGTACACTTGCCAAAACATACCCCGAAAAGGGAAACTCCTAAAAATTTCAAAAACAAATATCTCAAAATTTCCGAAACAAATCCTTGAGAGTTCCGAAAAAAACCTGATATTCCGAAAGGTACCAATAAAATAAAACAATGTATCACGAAAAGGAAAAAAATCTGCAGGCTACCGAAAAAAATCCCAAAGTTTCAAAAATCCCGTGAATACGTGAAGTCCCGAAAAACCCCCATAAAATTCTTTAAAAATCCTAAAACAGCTAAATTAAAATCCCTCAAAGCTACGAAAAATTGCGAAAACAAAAATAAAATTCCCGAAAAAAATTCCGAAAAGTCCCTAGAGCTCCCGAGAGGTGTCAAAAAGTTCGGACAGAGAAAATCGTAAGTATTCCAGAAACAAATTTTACAAAGTTTCGAAAAAAGTCAATAAAAGTTCCAAAAAAAAACCTGACATCCCGAAAGGTCCCAATAAATTAAAACGGTGTATCGCGAAAAGGAAAAAATCAGCAGACTAGGGAAAAAATCCCAAAGTTAATCAGAAGTCCGGAAAAAACAATAAAAATTTTTGAAAGGTCCTAAATAATCGAGATAAAAACCTGCCAAAACGCGAAAAATTAAGAAAAAATCATAAAAAGTCCCTGAAAAATTGTATTAAAAAATTTAGAAAACTTTCGATAAACCCCGAAAGGTCCCGAGAGGTCTTAAAAAATTTAAGCGAAAAGTATAGAAAAATATTCAAATAGTTTGCAAATAAATTCCAAATTTTCTCGTACAATTTCGAAAAGCTGGTGTTTCCGATAGGACAGCAGTATGATGTATTGTGGAAAAGTTTTCTGTCACTGCTGGCTTCGGCATTGTGCCATTTTCAGTGTGATGTTTCGTTGAAACCAGTTTGTCTCCAAATCAAATTTGACAAGGAATGACGGAAAATCGTTCCACAATACATTATTCCACTTTATTATCAATGCGTGGAAAATGTATGAGGAAAAAATCAGTTATCCCCCTGCGTGGGCATAGCTTGTTCAATACATACATTTAGTGCCCACTATCGATCTAGATACGTAATATAAAGCTTCTTTGCATTTTATATACACTTTTTCTTAATCGATGTTTTGTCTTTTCCACTTTTATAGGACCAAGTTTTTGGGGCCTTATCAATCCACAATGGAATATGTGCAATAAAGGGCGACGCCAATCCCCCATAGACGTAGTGCCCGACAAATTACTCTTCGATCCGTACCTGCGGCCGTTACACATCGACAAGCACAAGGTAAGAGCTACATATGTACGTACTTATGTATATAGAATATGTATATAGAATTTTTTTAGCGAAATAGACTTTAGTTGGGTACATGTACTCTTTTAAAGAATGGTAATAATAAATACAGTGGATCGCTACAAAAAAGTTTCTTTCTTCCAAAAAGGGAACACAAATAAACGGTTCCACACTTTAAATAAAATTACTGTGATCTAGAAGCACCACAGAAACGACTGGCGTGCTTTGCGGAACTCGGTCAAAATCGTTTAATCGTATAAATGTTATATAAGATATTTCGAAAACATTTTTTTTTTAATTTTTAGAAAAATTTTAGTTATTTTATTTTTTTAATTTAGTTTTTTTATTTTTTTTTTATGTATGTTACCGCATAACTTCGGGCCACGTTAACCGATTTCTATAATTTTTAAAGTAAAGATGTTTCCCCACAGGTGGTATCATACTAATTTGGTTTAAATCCAATCATTGGATCATGAAGAAACTAATGATTATCTTAAATTTTTATATGGGAATTGAAGTCGGTTTTGTTTTTTGCTTAAAAATTACATGTTTAATGTTTCTTTTTAATGCGTAAAGTGTGCACAAAGAAATGTCAACAAAAAAATTATTTAAACTGAGCACTTGAAACTTGTACTTTATTATACTAAAATTTTCTGAAAATTCAAAAAAAATAAAAAATAATACAGAAAATTTTGCTGGCTCATTTTTGGAACTTCGATATACAACGTCAAACCGATATAAGAAATGTTAACTAACTTTTAGAAGCCTTTTGGTATTTTATGCATATGCTGGGCAGCCTTAATGCCAAAGACAGCTATGTATGAGAATCGAGAGTTGCACCTTTTCCTACGTAAATTTCCCCGAACAGCGAAACTTTCCCACCGACTAGAAGAACTTTCACGATTTCATGTTGAGATTTTTCTACTCTCCTGATTGAAGTAACTTCTTTACTTTCCAAATAGGAAGAATGTTACGCCTTGCCATATGACCTCTAATATTCTGGAGATATGGTCAACCATGTCGTTCCCTACATTACCACAAAACTGCGAGGCAACCTTGAACATTTACCTAATTACAGGGTTGGTTATCTCAGTATTTCCTGAACCTCGTCATGAATAAACTTAAAGCTCAGTTATGCTATCTTGAGTTATAAATGCTACTAAGTCATGTCAAGTCATGTAAAGCTAAGTACGCATAGCTTAGCGTTTACTCACAGATCTCTTTTGGACTAACATTCGCTGCATTATTACCTACAGAGGAGCGTTGAGATCATATTTCCGCGCTTGCTCTCATAGATATCTCATTAAAATAATAAACTTTTTTCTTTTTACAAATTAAAAAAAAAAATCAATCCAATTTACGACTAATAAGCAATATTCCAGCAAGTTAAAAATTTTTTGAGTACATTTGTTCTTTAAAAATCAACTTAAATTCGCACATTCTACACAACCGAAAGGAGGAAAAAGACGACAATCAGTAGCTCAAAGCCATTTGTTTTCTCTTTTCTTTTCAATTTTCGTCGCATCGTTTGCTGTCTGTTTGCACGCTCGATTGGCTGATTGTTTGAATGCTTAACTTTGTTGGCTGGTTGACTGGATGACTGCTTGTTTGGCAAACTGCTGTCTCTTTTACTAACTGACTGACTGACTGGCTGTGTTCTTGGTTCGCTTGCTGTTTGCTGTTTGCTGTTCACTGTTGGCTGTTCACTGTTGGCTGTTATCGCCCAGGTTTCCGGTACACTACACAACACAGGTCAATCGCTCGTCTTCCGCGTCGACAAGGACACAAAGCAACCGGTTAACATCACCGGTGGCCCACTCGCCTATCGCTATCAATTCGAAGAGATTTACATACACTATGGCACAGAGAACAGTCGGGGGTCAGAGCACTATATACAGGGTTACAGTTTCCCCGGTGAGGTAAGTGTAAGCCCCTATACTCGCATGGACATACATATGTATGTATGTAAATGAGACAACAGCAAATTGTTGGTTTAACAGACATTTTTCACTTTTGCGCTAATCCACACTCGTCGTTCTTTCACTTCATTCATTCTTTTCAACTGTCATTCACAGATACAAATTTACGGCTTCAACAAGGAACTCTACCACAACATGTCCGAGGCGCAACACAAATCGCAGGGTATTGTCGGCCTCTCGCTGATGGTGCAAATTGGGGAGACACCAAATCCCGAACTACGAATTATAACCACCACATTTAATAAGGTTTTGTATAGAGGTAAGTTTACTCTAAAAACTCACACTCAACTAGTGTGTGTGTGAGTGTGTGGGTTGGGGCAGGATTTGTCGATTGGATCAAATGTCAACGACTTGCGCTTCAAATGCGGCTGAATGCCAGTGTTGCCAGAAAAAATTTGTTAAAAACCATAAAAAGGTTACTGAAACTATAAACACAATCTTTTTTCTCTAGAAATATCTTCATTTATAACAAAAACTCTCTTCTTATTTGCGCATTCATCCTTTCTATATGATGATGTTTCTATAAAGTTAATTACAGAAAATTTTATTAAATTAAATAATTTAAGTTAAATTTAGAAACCAAAATTACTTACCTTTTGGTTTTAACAAAGAGCGATCCATACTTTTTATTTTGTGGAAATTTATAAAGCCGAGTGTGAGCTGCACAATGCCGAGTTTGAGCGCGAATTTGGACAGACAAAATCAATTCAAAAACATACTCGTAAAAATCTGTATTAATATCTACCTGGCGTGCAAGTTAAATTGATAACAAAAACGAAAAATATGTTTCCAACCATCCCAAAAAAAAATTAATCTTGAAGCGCTGGCAGATATCTTCACTGCGAACATTTTTTGTATGGAATTTTATTTTGTTGTAATTATCTTCATGTGAAGATTTTTCGGTTTATTTATGAAAAATATCTTCACACTTCTGGCAACACTGCTAAATGGGTGTGTGTGTGTATGTGTGTGTGCGAGCGCGCGTGCCGAAAAGAGAAATTAACAAGGCATGCAAGTTATTTCCGGTCAACAAAGTGCAAAGGCTCGATTCAAATACGAGTGAGTGCAAGCATTTGCCTGCAACGCGAGAATACTGCAAATATAGAGAGATGAGTGTGTGGCATGGCTTGATGGAGGAGTTGAGCATTAAATACACGCCGGCCCAGCTGGTGCCAGTGGTGGGTTTTCCTGCGCTAGGTGCAAAAAGTCAGAAAAAATTGTGTACTACTTAGGTGAGTTTTTTCCGGCACGAACAATAATAATTATGCGCCGAAGACTTGGCTCAATGTTAGCGACCTGAAAGCAGAAATCAAAAATAGAAAGCGAAAAGTTCGAAAGAAACCTACAATTCTTACCGTTTGCATTTTCATGGCTCAAAATATGCAGCACACACATCCACCACACAGCACATGCGGAAGAAGCCACTGTATGTAGATTTGTTACCAACATTTATCGCCAACAATTACTTTCAGCGCTGCTGAGGCGAACGGCAAATGAAAAAAAAATGCAACAACAATAACAATGCCGACTTAACGCTTAATGATGGCCACCATTTGATGGCGCAAAATTATGCGCCGCCAAATGCAATAAAAACGCCGGTTCATAATATAATAACATGGCAGCGGCGGCACACTTACAGTGTTGCCACATTGCCTTCCGCTGGCACTTTTGCTGCACAAATCACACGCCAGTCAGCTGTGGCCAAACACTTGGCGGATCGTGTCATTTGTAGCGCCAACGTTCTCGTCATTTCGCCGCACTAGAAGAAACTAACTGGCAGGCATGCTAGTGTTGTTGTGTTTGCTTGTGGGCTTTCCTTGCCAAAGCTTGTGGGATTAGAGCGGCTGAGCGATATCTGGAAATAAGAGCACATATACACATTAGGCTGACTGAAATAATAATAATAATAATATATTTTGGCGATGCGATAAAAATTAATAAAATCGAAAATTTAACAAAATATGATATATTAATAAAAAGTTATTTTTGAGTACATAATAATTTGAAAATTTTCTGGAAAAACCTCATAACTAAAGAAATTAAAAATTTAGGTAAACGGCTTTATTTAATTATTTTATTGACGTTTTCGAAGGGTTTTGCTGTGCTGTAAAAATATTCATTGCCGATCTAGACGGGGGTTTTCTGAACTAAAAAATCAGTAACTGGTTTTTCTTCAAATAATTTTGTTCGAATAACTCGAAAAACGGTTTTAGAAAAAAGTCGAATAATCGCGCATCCTAATATTCACCGATCCTACTTAATATAAATAAAGAAGCTTGAAATTATACTAAAAATATTTAAAAGTTATGTAAGTAGCAAAAAATATATCGCCGTATTCATAAACTTCAAAGTTAGTTAGAAAAAATTAGTTTTCAAATAATTCAAAAAAGTTTTCTGAAAAAAACAATATTTATTCGTAACGAAAATGTACGGCGAATATTGGGAAAGTTTGTATATATTGATAACCTGATGTCAGATTCAACTTCAGCGCGCCAAAAACCGATGGAAAGTTTAGTCCGGCCTCAGACTTCGAAAAATGTAGGTGTTTGTATTTTGACAAATATAATCCTTAAATTAATTCTAGGCCAAAACGTTATTGTTTTTAGCTAAGCAAAGCGGAAAGAGTAAAATAAGAAAAATTCTGATTTTAGGAAGCACTTTTAACAAATTTGTATACGTTATAGGGTGGCAGCCATTTTTGACACTTACCTAAAAATTTATGTTTTATGGATCACAACGTTTTTCCAGCAAACAAAGAAACAGAAACGCTCATCTGTCACTTGGGGACCGACCCAATCTAATGTATATGCACTTTTTTCTCGTGAAATTTTTCTTAAAAGTAAGCATAATCTTAAATTTCAATTCTTCCATAACTGGAATATTTTATACTCTTAAAATTGCAGGTTCACATAATATCTGTACTTTTCACAAAGTAGCCTCAGAACAGGGTTAATAAAGATGAAGTCCGCTCTGCCACCGGAAGCTTTGGCTTCCATCTGCGTAGGCTTTCCCGATCATCTAATCGCCTTAGCTTTTAGCCTTTATTAAAAAAGTATTATATTGGCAGGGCCTTCGACCAGACAAACTGGGGGATTGACAATAATTGCTAAATCATTATTTTTTCACTTTTATTTTTTCCATCAGAGTTATAGTTAAATTTGTACTTTGTTCGGTCAAATTCAATCGTTACTTTCATCTTTGGTAAATTTTAATTTCATTTGGTAGGCATTCTAGTGAGGTAAACAGTTTTCCGAGTGGCCACGCCGAGGCAGGCGCCACTCGGCAGCGCAGTAGGATGCACAGTACAGGCCGCTACGCTGTTGTACGCGGTTGCAGGAAGCAATGCAAACAGTAAAAGTGGCAGTTAAATTTTGCCATTAAAACCTTCTTTGACACGTCGTCACGCCAAGCCCTAGCAGCCGATGCCTGCTGCATTGATCACTAGCTTGCCGAGGGCGAGAAAGTAGCAGCAAAAATTGAGCTGTAGAAAAGTTAGTGCTTGAAGATTTTATGAAAAAAAAAAAATCATAAAGTAAATAAAAGAAAAAATAAAATAAAAAAGTTTGTTGGAGAAAATCAAATTCAGAATATGTTTGCAAAGAAAACGAATAACAAGAAGAAGAAAAATAGAACGAAAGAAATGGAATTATTCCTCAATTTTGCGCCACCTTTGTTATAACGGGTGATTTTTTAAGAGCTTGATAACTTTTTTTTTAAAAAAAACGCATAAAATTTGCAAAATCTCATCGGTTCTTTATTTGAAACGTTAGATTGGTCCATGACATTTACTTTTTGAAGATAATTTCATTTANCGAACCGAACACTGATTTTGGTAATAAAATTCAATGATTTGCAAGCGTTGCTCGTTAGTAAGTCTATTCATGATGAAATGTCAAAGCATACTGAGCATCTTTCTCTTTGACACCATGTCTGAAATCCCACGTGATCTGTCAAATACTAATGCATGAAAATCCTAACCTCAAAAAAATCACCCGTTAAATGACGCCAACAAAAGTTTTTACTTTGGTTGCTTGAATTTGTAGGTGCATTACCTTTTGCGAACTTAAAATAGAGAAATAAATAAATAAAGAGTTAAATAAATATGTTGTGGTATATCCGCTTCATGCGACAGTTAAAAAGTGAAATTAAGAAAATAGCGAGAACTTATTTGATACTTTTTATTTCGCCAATCGCCTTTTATGGAGACACTCTGCTTATTTAGCTAAGCTAACCAACAGCGTCCTTGACACTCACGCCTTCTAGGAGAAGGCAGTAAAGTTTTTTTACAAGGTGGAAGCATCGAATGTATATATACACCGGCATTGTGGGACTTTAACATGACCAAACCACCGGCTGCCATGTACATACATACTTCCCCCGGTACTACCGCTAAGTTTTTTTTCGGCGGCTGCTTGAGTACAAAGCTCATGCGTACATTACTGTTCTAGTGTAAACAGTTTGTTAGTAATTTCAAGATAATGGTTGAACTTATCAAGATTATTCTTCTATCTTGTACAGCTCTTCTAAGCATTGGCAACATAATTAAATAGATGAACGTGAATATGTTGAGATATTTTCATGTTATGTAGTATGATTCCCAATCATTTCGTCCAATAATTTTACCACAAGTTTTCAAGCCAAGAGTGGATAGCAGAGACGAACTCTTTTACTTGTTTGCATGATTCATTGGCCCTTCATAACTCATAACAAAACCACATCTAGCCGAATAAAACCCGAAAAAGTTTGGTCATGACAGAGAGTGCTGCCTTAGGTACCCTGCACTCCAAGTTGTTGCTTTCTCCTTACGACCTCGTTGCATTCATGAAACAAATATGTTGCGATTCCTGTTGCCGTGTAACAATATTCGCAGAAATTGTCTTATCTCAGTTTGATCATGTAGTAGCTTTTATTCACTCGCTGTCAGTTACCACCACGAACTACCCGCTAGAATACCAGCAATGCAATTTAGCCATGAATTTAGTATTGGGGTGTCTTCAGTAGTAATCAATTTAAACCTACTAGATTACCATTCACCTGCTATCTAATTAGCTTCCATTCAGAAGTTGCAGTAATGCGATTGTTACCTAGGTAACGCAGCAAACTGGTGAATTCACCAGACCTACCAGATTACCAGTAAAATTGTTCATAAATAACTAAATCTAGGGTTTCTACAGAAATTATTTCAATTGAATTTTCGGGTAGTCGCACTTTGAAGGATAAATTCTGTTCCTAGGGAGTTCAAAATTCCTCAAAACATCTCCATAAGAGATTTCGTTTCACATGAAAATTTGGCTTGTATTGCGGCCTAATTGCCGTAACCTGGCATCCCAAAATGTCTTTGTTGCAGGTATACGTTGGTCTGTCAAATAATAATCCGAAAGGAATGCCCCAAATTCACTATGGCTTATAAAGTCACAGGATTGATGATTGGGTTTTCAGTTACTCGACAGCCAATTATCGAATGGAGTTTATCTTGACTATCATAAAAAATATTATTGGTTCAAAATTATGCTAGGATTGTTATCGATCTTGTTTTAGAGGGGCGATGGAGATAATTCATATATGTATATGGATTGGGCTTGTAGCCATTTCATCAAACTCTTTCACATGCTGGTTGAGAATTTGAGAATTCCATATACATTAAATTTCTGTATGGACAAGAGATATACTTTATACAAAATAATGCACACTTTTAGGCGCACTATTTGCGCATTAGTCAGCAACGCGAATGCCCAATGGAATTTGCTTTAAAGGAAGGCAATAATAATTAACAATATTCATTTAATAAACATGTTTATTTAAATTTGTTTGCTTGCATTTCAAAAATCTTTACGGTTTTCCTCTTTGATAGGCTTTTCCACGCCCATTCGGCACATATCAGTGCGTTCACTGTTGCCAAATACAGATAATTACATTACCTACGAGGGATCCACAACGCATCCCGGCTGCTGGGAGAGCACCGTATGGATTATTATAAATAAGCCCATCTATATCACAAAACAAGAGGTGAGTATTACTTTCAAATCACATTGGAAATTGGCCGTATTCTGCTTGTAATTACTTAATTAAATTGTTTAAACCATAATCAGTTGGTAGGATTATGTCAAAACCAAATAATGCCAACAAAAAACGAAAACCCTATAACTCGTATGGAAGCTAAAAATAAAAACATAGAATATATTTACATAGAAAAAACAGCTTTATGGGCATGATTATTGGCTAATTGAACTCAATTAAGCGCACCAGCAAATTTGTTTATTCTGTGGAAAAAAATACAAATTAAATTTCGTATGTAATTTGCAATTGGCAAATAAAATTAAATGTAAGCGCAAACGCAAATAGAAATGCAGATCAGCTAGCGGTGGTGTTAATCAAATAAATGCAATTATGTATTACAATTTAAATTTTATATATGAATTTGTTGCTGGTCAATTTAATGTTAAACTAAATGATGCCAAGGATGTGTAAGACAGGGGGCCAAATAGCTGTGTACTATCGCATGCTTTAATACGGATGCTGTTATGGAATTAACCCGCTGCCTTATAGGTTGGGGGACGCCCAAGATTTTCTCATAGGATCTTTACTGTAATGCTGGCTACCGCAGCCTTGACCCACTTCCATTGTTGTCTTAGGACCCTCATGCTTTCGTCTCTCATCCTGATCGGAATATGCTTCTTGGCGACTTCAGCAAAATATGGTCTATGCGTTCTAACCCACTTATCAGTTACACGCTCCTCCTTTGCCTTGCTGGACAGGTCATGCGTTGCTGTGAATCTGACCAAGATTATTGCTGCAGCTGGTGCTGGCCTCGTGAATGTAGTGGATGTCGCGAGAAAACCGCCCGGGGTCTGCGCTGCATATTGAGGGTCATGCCCGGCTTCAGTCTGCAAACCAGGTTGGCATAAAATAGTGCCACAGGGGTCCCGGGACAGACCCCTTTGAGTAGTCAAATTGCTGTTTCGGACTAAACTTGGTCCGGTTTCACCTTGGTGGAGGTACTCTGATCCCTTTCTTGAGGGGGCCTTAAAGCCCTTTCCATCCCTTTTTATTTTTTGCTTATTGATTCCTCGTGCTCTCGCGAGCTACGCAGATTGGAGTTCGTCCACTGCGGCAGAGATCCATGATGCCCAGGCAGAGTCTTAGTACATCCTGTGTGTGGCCGCCTCCCAGAGGGCTCCGTTCGTGGCTGGGCTATTTTGGAACCCCCGCCTGCCGATGCTCGGTACGGTCTGCGTGACGCCTTGATCTAGCCGCTTCTGACCTTCAAGCCACGATCCTAAACCATTTCCGTATGACTAAGCTATTAAGGAGATTTGGTACATGGCGCTGATTTCTGATCTTAGCTGCGCACCATTCTGACATGGCAAAGCATCCTCTGTAGTGCCCATTACCAGTCAGCACCCTCGTCGAGGGCTCAGACGGCTTTAGGCTTTAAGTACAATTATAATTTTATCCTATTCCGTTCTAAATAAATATTCTCCAATAAAAGCAGCCTGAAAATTGAGTTCGCCACTTACTTAGTTACTAATTTACTCTACGCTGACTTATTTAATTTGCTTCATGAAAAGAAATGTTTAAGCACATCGGAGTATTTAAAAAGAATTGTTGAAATAAATAAAATAACACTTATGTAATTAAACATTTTGCCCAGCTGGCTTTTTTAACAAAATTTAACCAACTGTATTGAAGCAATTTGCCACGAATAAAATATAAATAAATCGAACAGTAATCATTATTGGCGAGTAACGTAGATACATACATACATACATAAGTGGCAAAGTGATAAATGTAAGTGTCTACATATGTGTAGTGGCATTTTTTCCTTGCCCGAACTGGAGCTTAATTTAAACGTAATTACGTGNTCAGTCATCCTCTAATTTCGTTTAGGTATCGATACTACTAAGCCAACGCCGCTGCTCAGTCATACAAAGCAGCGGTATTGAATGTGTATGAACAGTTGACGATCAACCAATGCCAATCCCTGGTGCATACACATTAACGCACTAGCGCCACCACATAAGTATGTATGTATGTATGTAACGGGTGATTTTTTAAGAGCTTGATAACTTTTTTTTTAAAAAAAACGCATAAANCGAACCGAACACTGATTTTGGTAATAAAATTCAATGATTTGCAAGCGTTGCTCGTTAGTAAGTCTATTCATGATGAAATGTCAAAGCATACTGAGCATCTTTCTCTTTGACACCATGTCTGAAATCCCACGTGATCTGTCAAATACTAATGCATGAAAATCCTAACCTCAAAAAAATCACCCGTTACATGCCAACTTTGCGCATACATTTTGGTTTTTGCATTTAAATGCAAATTAAGTTTATTGCAGAAAAGTAGGGCATAATCGATAAAAGCTCAATATTAAATATTTACACACGGAAGTGATTCGGTTGCTCAAAAGCAAAAAAAAAACAAAAAAATTAAAAAACGGTAATGAATAAATTATGCCGCAAAGCATGCAGAAAGAATCTTAAATAATATGTAATAACAGCAGCATGCTCATTTGTGGCAAAGGTGTTGTGAATATTTCGAAAAGAAACTTTTCAGTTGACTTAAATTATTCAAAAGCTCTGCATATTAAAAGCAGTTAAATACATATATGTATGTAGTTGAATTTAACTACAGCCTCAATGGACTCTTTTAAATTCAATGAGTTATGTTTAGCATTATCTTTATTTATCGTCTATTCACTTAGACAAAACGGGCGTTGAATAAATGTATCCAGCTTCCAAAATGTGCTTTTGGCAATACACCTAAGCTTTTATATAGAGATGGACAACAAAATGCGATAACATTGTAGGCTCTTATGATTAAGGTAGGGTTACATGACAAGCAATATTATACTTAAGGCTAAGCTACACTTGACACTTTAAAACAAGTATGTTCAATTATTGCATTATCGACCTCAAAATCTATGAGCCGGACGCAGGTAGTTAGAGCATCTTCAACAATTATTGGAAATATCTGCATACCATTTCTTGAAGACAAAAATTGTGTAACATAAGTGGAGCCGCTTATAATAGTTTTCGTAAAGAAAATCACAGGCTGTGAGTTTTTTGATAGCAAAGTAGTGGGTAAGGTAATTAATTCAAAACTGGACCTATTAGAACAGACCCCATAGAGCAAAGAAGTTACCTTAGCCCTTAAAGATCTTGAAAATGGGACTTTGCGAAAGGGCCACCTGCAGCCCAGCCGCGGCCAACATTTAATTGAAATTATTTTTAAGAAGTAAATGCCAGAGATTGTTGTTTCGGGCAATAATAAAGATTCCGACATCCAGTTCTGTTTTAAGTGTTTTATTTATAATTGAAAAACAAAGGAAGGACTTTCATTTAAACTCTAATATTAAGTATTTTCGCCCATAAGTATGGTGGGCGTGGCAATATATCAAACTTTCATATTCACTTTTTTCCAAGTGTAGAAAAGCATACAACAAATTTAAACTAATTCGGTGTTTATTAACTATTTTCGGTATGAGTTTATATGGAGTCTGCACTGCACTGTGCTGGGGCCGGTTAGAAATATTTTGTGTGGGCAAACCGACTGCCGGGTAACCTGAATGTTATTAAAGTCAATTACGGTCTTATTTTTACACTTTTATGTGCCTAGCATTATCATTAACAATTTATTATATTTTCTTATCATTTCACAGTTATATCAACTCCGACGACTGATGCAAGGCTCCGAGAGTACACCAAAAGCTCCATTAGGTAATAATGCGCGTCCCGTACAAGGACTACACCATAGAACTGTAAGGACAAATATAGACTTTAAGCGTAATAGGGTGAGTAGGCAAAAAATAAAGTGTACATGCATATGAATGTGGAAATTCGCATAAAATATTTAATATGAAATATTGAAACATTTCTCCTCCTCCTTTTGCCTTTGCGGCGCCACATTTTTTGCAGAACCAAAATTCATGTCCGACCATGTACAAGGATATGTACTACCGAGCGAATCGTTGGTCACCGGATACTGGCTTATTGATTCGTTGACCCAACAGAGGACATATGCAAATAAATGAGAATAACAATAATAATAATAATCATAGCGATAGTGCAAGTGGCACTAATAGTTATAGTTATAGTTATAGTTATAGTGAAAGAGATAACTACATTTTCCATAACTGTAATAGCAACAATGGTAATTACAATTTGTACAACTGCGAGTGCAGCTGGAGCAGGCACAACTGCGAGTGCAGCAGGAGTGGTGGAGTTAACGCAAGCAACTACGCCGCCGCGAACAGCTGTGTGCAAAATAATTATGAGCGCAGCAGGCGTAACCACAGTCGCTGCAAAAATAACAACAATAGCGGCAGGAGCGAGTGCATCAAAACAAGTGACAAATTTAATTGTAACAACAAACCCACACAAACACAAGCAACAATATGCACTGACGGAGGAGCTGCTGCATCGAGTGTCTGTAATTTTCGTACGGTAATAAATGTGCACCATAATAATCGAATTCATTATTATTGCGAAAATCAGACGAAGCGCCACGACAGCAACGTAGGCAATTTGATGCAACCGCCACTGAGTTTGTTGCAACTGTTGCTGTTGCTACCAATTTTCCTCATTTCAATACTTAATTTCACACATTTGTCACTATAATTTTCGTTGTGCATGCAGAGGTGTGAATGTATGTGTACGAGTGCACTGTACGGCAGATTAACATGCATTCATATGTATGTATAAAAGGTACTCACCTTAGGGTGACTCGCCAAAAAAGGCTTGCTTTTGTTCACCTGAATTATAAAATGTGCTATATTTAAAGACTTCTGCCAAAGTCGAGTTTTTTATAAATAAAATTACTTTTTAAAAATATTTTTTTTTAAGCAGACCTGGTGATTTTTTGGCTGAAAAAATGTTTAAAAACTAATTTTATTTATAAAAAAAAAACTAGATTTTTGGAGGTATTTTTAAATCGCTGCAGCTACGTAAATCTCAAAATTTTTCCGAAATATTTTGGCAGAAGTCTCAAAAGTCGAGTATAATAAATTCTATAATTCCACTGGGCAAACAGTACCGACTAATTTTATTTTTATTTTTTTCTATGAAGAGCGATGCTCCCTAATGCACATACGTGCATATACATGGGCCTCTGTTTTTTGTTATTAAATTAAAATGCAATTCAATTCAGTTTGGTAATACGGTACAACCGAAAACAATAATTAATGCAACACACACACACAGAAATATAAAAATCATAAATATTGCAGAAGCAGGTAAATATCCCGCAATAAGCTTCATGCATAAAAACATAAGTATACATGCAAAGGTACATATATGTATATGAATATGGTAATGAGAAGGCATAAATGAGCACTAACGAAACACATTCATATATGTACATATGTATATGTTCGTTTGTATGTGCATGCCTGCCTGCAATAACTACCATTAACAACTACCAATAAACAATGAGTATGTATGCCTTTAAGTTACTTATGCTACTTGTGTATTTATACAGTCAAACCGTTTAATGTAAAACTTCGTAAAGCAGAAGAGAACTCACAAAAAAAAACAAAAAAAAACAAAAAACAAAAACAAATATTCATATGCATACTGTATGGGCGGACAATAACTACAAATTAACTAGCAAAAGTACATAAAGAATAATAATGGACAACTTAAATACTTTCATACATACATACAAACATAGTTAAATGCCAAGATTAAGTAATAAGTGAAGAACCAACTAACTAACTACTAAAATCATCCACTAAGCAAAAGTTATGTACTTGCTAAACTTATATTCGATAACTGTATTCACTAATTAAACCTCAACTTACTAAATACTATCTGCATAACGGTATAATTACAGCTCATTTAATACAAAACAAAAATACAAAGCTTGGAAATGAATGTATGTAGTTGCATATACTATAAATATGTATGTATTTTAGATCAGCTGGTAGTAAATAATTTTATTCAATTAGTACTTATTTATGGTAATTATTTAAATTCGTAATCGAAATTTAGAAAGCACAATTTTAAAGAATTTTTGTATCGCGGACTAGTGAATCAAATTTCTAGTTCCGCACTAGACCAGTCTAACTAATTGTAACTAGATCTCCACCAGTTCAAAATCAGCGAAATGTGGTACTTTTAAAAAACTATTTAAGTTCACTTTTTTTGTTGGAAATCTATATCAAGGTGACGAATTTAGAACTGGTTCGCAACTGTCGAAAAAGGGACGCAGCGGGAGCTGATTTACTTTACATAGATATGTGTTTGGCGGCTTTTTCGTTCAAATATGCTTCCATTCTGCACTTCGCCGATGCTTTTTCATAGTTTGGTATTACAAAACAAAAATGTATGTTAACATTTTAACGTTTTGACACCGTCTGGCATCTAATCAATAACAGCAAGCACCTCTGCAAACTCAGCTACAGCCAAAGGTATGTAAACATACATTTCTTACAATCATTCAAACAAATTGAATTTCAAATTGAAAACACATTTCTTTGAAAATAATTTAAAATCGCACATACGTAAGAACCAAAAAGATTGAAAAATCATAATACTTTTTTCATCTGTTGATTTTAGAACTGGTTCCGAAGTATAGAATTTAGGACTAGTTCGGAACTATCGAAAATGGGGTGCGCGAGGGGCAATTGACACTTACTAGGACATCTCCATGTTGAATTCACCAGTTGTTTGCATGCAAAAGGTATTTATCACGAACCAGTACTGGGTGTAAATGTACTAGAAGGGCACCAGTTCAGTAGTAGAGATTTCCCCCACAGGGAGAGCATCAAGAGTAGTGCCAGCCCAGCGGCGCAAATGTACATTACGTAATCGAATACTCCTTCAAAACTTCGAAGGCGGTATATCGTAGTGAATGGATTACAACCCAGATTACTTTGCCCTAAGCATGGTGGCTTTGTGGTTAGCGTCCTTAGCATACTGGTTTTGTTTGTAATCGGATGGATGGATCCCATTTAGCAGTGCGGCGCTGAGAGGTATTAAAGAGAGAGCTCCCGTATAGCGCACGGCAACGCTGCTGCGCGCTGTTGATTGAAAATCTGCTCCACTCAAGCATAGCTGACTATGGGCCTTACCACCGAGGTGTAGATCCTGAGGATTCATCATGGCGATGTTTTACCAGAGACCTGTTTACTCGTGCATTTTAATTAATTTTAGTTACTTTTGGTTTGAAAATTGTTTTCAATTAGGGGATGCCCAAGGCGTGTTAAGCGTCGTCAAATCTTAAGATTTTAGTTTTTTTTTATGTAAAATAACGGTTAAAATGTTTTTAGCGGATTCGCTGTGTATGATATTTTCTATTAGGTTAAAAACATTTCGGTGTATGTAGTTAGAAATCATCTAAAATCATTTTAATCGTAATTTTACATAAAAAAAATAAGACTTAAGACTTTACGACGCTTAACATGTCTTCTGAATGTCCAAAGTATTTATGTAGCTTTGTTTGAAAAATATTTAAAGATTGTCTATCAACACGCTTTTAACAACTCAGACGGCAGAGGTTTCTGATCTGAGTGCGTCAAGAAGATGACTATTTCATAGACTCTGAAAAGTCACATTTGCTCTGGCTGGGTACACAGAAAAATGACGAGTCTCTAAATCTTCCTCCTTATAATCGATCCCAAGGAGTAGAGGTTGTCCTGCCTATAGAGACTGTACAATAATGACGACGACGATGATGACGTGTGGATTAAGTATGTTCTTAGAATTTCCGCCGTTCATTACAAACCTACTCTGTGACAGAACTGCAGCGACATATTGAGGCTCAGCCTGCTTGCAGTATGGAAGAATATAGGAATCCCGCAAGGCATGTGGTCGTAAATTACCTGGTAGAGAAACTGAAGGATTTTTCGGATTTCAGAGGCATGCAAACGACGTGACGTTATGGCCAGGTTTCTGGACACCCGACATGATCTGAGCCAAAGTTACCTTAAGCTCTGAAAGAAATTGGCGGTTAACAAAACCTGCTTTATCCGTTAGAATTCGTCATTGGTATTAACTACGAAGGCTGAACGTAACGCACAAAATGCGTAATGAAAGTACTGCACGTTTTAATTTCATCCCTGAGTGTACGAATATCTGCTTCACTGAAATGATTCCCAGTTGCTATTTCTCTCAACACGTTTCTTCATGGCATGACTGGGTGATCACTGAGCTTTTGAGTGTTTTGGGGGTTTGGATTAGCAACAAGTTTGAAAGTTTGGTGAAAGGGTATCCTGACGTATCTCGCTTTTTATAGTCAACCGCGCGGAACTCTCACATACATATTTCAAACTAACACCCGTCTTCCATAAGTTTGTGATTGGGTTCTTGTGTTTCATCGATTAATTGGACAACTTCTCCAAGTCCAAGTGTGTCCCTAACTAGGGGCTCGAATGGTTTTCATTTTACATGAATTCGTTAAAACATAAAAGATAATGAGTAAAAATTTATAGAGGTTGGTCTTAACTTTCGTCTCACTGCATTCCGGCAATTTTTTATCTTAAAGGGATTGAGTAGTCACTCAAATTTTAAAAATTTTTAATAACTTTAACAAAAAAAAAAATATGACAAAAATAAAAATGGGAAGCAAACATCATAATTCTTAACTATTTAAAAATAATTCAAATTCCGAAAAATTGTAAAATTTTTATATTTTTTCATCATTGTGAACCACAAAAAAAAACACTCGACCTCCGAAAAATTGGTGGCCGGTCCACTTAACAAATTTTTACTGTAATACACAAGTATTAATTTATCATGCATCAAATAATTTTCAATTCTGTACCGATTATTTGGTAAGATTTTTGAAATATTTTCCATTTTATTTTTTTTTTTTATTTTTATTATTTTTGCTTGTATCTTGGCAACCCAATAAATACAAAATTTTTTTAACCCTTATTTAACTTTCATGTATTTATTTTTAGTTTTTAGACGTTTTTGCAAGCCTTTGTTTTTTAAATAAATGCATATAAGTATAACTCAAAAATAGTGTAAATTAAAAAATGCAAAATGCAAAGTGCTTGAGAGAACAATGCTGCTTTCAATAGTC